TGCACTCCCAAAAATAAACAGCAGTATGTATAAACCTAAAAAAAAATTATGCTGAGTGATGTAAGCCTGATATAAAAGAGCACACAGTGTATGGTTTTATTTAAATGAAGTTCTAGAACTTGCAAATTAAATCCTTGATGATAGAAACCAAAACAGTAGTTAGCTGAGGGAGGGAAGACATGAACTGAACTGGAAATGGGCATGAGAGATTGTTCTGAGTGATAAAAACTTTCTACATCTTAATAGGTATGTGGACTACAAAGATAATGTACTTATAAAAACTCATCAATTGATATACTTTTGGTTTTTACTTCTCATTACATAAAATAATAGTAAGAAAAAAAGATTAATAATAATAAAAAATTTGAATCTGCATGGTAGAGGTTGTGGGTAGAGGGGAGAAATGCTTCTACTATTAGAGCCACAATATAGAGAACAGAATGACCCAGAGGATCTGGTCAGCTACCGGCCTGCCTCTCTAATGGCGGAGCAAGGACCATGCTACCCATTCTCATCTGGCTGAGCCAGGCCAGTATAATGTGCAACATCTGGTTGAAAGAGTGAACTGATGTTAACAAGTGGTATTTTAGAATGTGTGGTTAGGCTGGTGCCAGAGAGAGGCACCAGAAGATTAGCACTTCTCTTTCTGTAACAACTCTCAAGCCCCACTCTCCTTCTCTGCCATGAGCAAATAGTTTGATTTTCTATTAGGTGTCTCAGTATTCACACAAGCTGAATAAATTATTCTTCCTGCTTTCAGAATCTTGCTAAGCCCCCCAAAATGTTGAGTTGTTTTAGTAAAAGAGATTTGTGCTTTATTTAGTTTTCCTGTATTTCCACATCAATTCCATTTTAAAATATCCCTTTGCTATGATTAGCCAGTCTGATTTTATTTTTCTCTCTCATGAACACACACTCACACATGCACTCACATGTGCGTGCACTGCCTCTATCCTCAGCAGACCCGTGGGCAGGCTCTCCCCCTGAATGTATAGATAGAGCAAGGCCTGTAATGCTCAGGCCCCTTAAGTGTGATGAGGGCTGAAAGCTAAGCCCAGTGATTGTTCCCACCAGTGCACAGTCAGTGGAGAGTGAATCCTCCCCCATATATCCACCCACACAGACCTCCCAGCTAAAGTGGTGCATGGGCTTCAGTTGCCACTGTAGCAGAAGGGATTTAATTCTAGTCATGTGTGGAAGGAAGGCCCTGTGATGCCTCTCTCTGTCCCCAATCCTGGTCCCTTTTCTCTTATCTAAGTTCCTTGCATGACATGCTTAAGTAACCTAATTGCGTAAGTGAGATTACCTCATACATCCTCCTCATTTTACAGATGGAGGATTGGAGTTACCAGAGGAGATGGGATTGCCCAAAGGCATATGGTCAGGTAGAGTTAGTGACTAGACCAGAATCCTGAGATCCTGGCTTCTAGTTCATGGCGCTATCCACTATGTGATGCTGCTAACACCAGGACTCTTCCTTATTAGAAAAATGAGCTTATTCCCATTGGCTATTATTGGAGAGTGGCATCCAGGCCACGGGCTCCTCCAGTGGCCTACTCAGGGCACCTGTGACTGCTACTTCAGTCCTGTGGTGAAGAAATAATCGGAAAAACTCCAGTAACATCAGTAAAGGGAGGGATCTCCTCTTCAATGGTTCACTGAGGACCTACCTGAAGATGTTCAGATCCCAAGAACTTCCCCTAGGAAATCCATTGGAGTGAGATCAAGCCAGGACACATATACCACTGGGAGCATCCTGGCATGTGCTCAGTGATGTGTTGGTTACAGGAGCTATGAGATGGACAGAGGAAGAAGAAGGAATGGTTTTAAAACCTTCCACCTTTGAGGGTTGGCCCTTTAGTGCCGTGGTTAAATACTGTGTATAGGAATTTGGATTCCATATGGCCAAACATGATTCTAATCCCAGCCCAGTGACTTGAAAAACATACCAAGTGTGTCTGCATGCATGCCCCAAATCTTGATGGGATGGAGAAACTGAGGGAAAAGGATTATGGTGTGACCTTGTATCACTGATGGGTACTTTCTCTTTCTGGGTCTTTCTCTGATGAATGCATGCATCTTCTGACAATTAAAAAAGATAATTCTGGTCTAGCCCTATAGTACAGTGGTTAAGGGAGTGGGTCCCATTTAGCCAGCCATGGTTCAAATTCCAAGCCCTTGGTAATTTGAAATACATGCTGGGTGCATGTGCACTCATCCCTAAAATTCCTCTCCATGGAGAAATGGAGAGGAAGGGATTGTGATGTGACCACACCCCAATAGGAGAATGCTTTTTCCTTCTCTCTCTCTCTCTCTCTCTCTCTCTCTCTCTCTCTTTCTCTCTGTCTGTCCATCTCCCTGCTTCTCTCTAGTAAGCACATGTGCCTTATGGCAATTTTAAAAAATCCATTTTTCAAAATTAGGGGATAGTATAGTTCAGTGATTAAAAACATAGTTTTTGAAGTCCAACAGATCTGGGTGTGGGTCCTCACAGGATATGTGGCCATAAGTCAGTTTCTGAGCCTGCTAAATGGGGCAAAACATCTATTTCAGCATCTGTTGAGGACATGGTAGCTGAGGTTAGGTTGTTCTGAAGACTTGGTTTCAGAACTCAACAAACACAGCACTCAAAGGCCAGATCTGGGCCTCCTTAGCCAGTTCACCTGAAAGTGATCAGAAGGTGGGGAGATGGTGGGAGGACAGGAGCTGTCCACTGTCCTGGTGCTGATCTGACTATAACTCCAGCCTGGACAGCACCAAGACCCCAGAGGCTTACAACCACTGGGCCTCCTGATAAACTTCCAGGTAGTAGTTGTGAGTGAGTGGGGCAAGGGTGGAACTGAGAGAAATGGATTTTTTCTGGTGGCTCTAGTCCTGGGGATATAAGACCATCTCCATTGTCCCGCTCCAGCTCAGAGACAGGAAATGAACAAGGTCAGGCATCTTTAGAAGTCAGTCCAAATCAGAGAAGCCATTGTTCATGGACCAGTTCAATGCCTTGCAGCCAGATGCTAAGGAAGATCAATCACACACTTCTCTCCTCCTGGAGCCAGTACAGGTTGGAAATAAAGAAGCTGTTGTCACCACAGGCAGGTTTAATGGATTTTCAAGGCAAGGAGCAAACCTCACTACATGTGAGTGTGCACATGAATTCCGTGGGGATGGGTGCCTCTGTATTTTGGCCAGGTAGACTCCAATCAGACAGTAGCTCTTCTCTTTGTCCAATTGTGGGGGCAACTATGGTTAGGAGATGGATTCCTAAGCCTCAGGAGGGCCTGCATTTTGATCTCAGATATGCCACACTGTATCTGTGAGACCTTGGGCAAGCTGCTTAATTGCAAGCTTTGGCACCCAGTTCATAAGCAAGGTTGTAACCCCTATCACACGAGTGGTAAGTGGAGAAATGCATTTAAAGTGCTCCCACTATTTTCCACGTTTCAGCCTATAGACAGCTGCTCAGGCACCTCCTTTGTCCATGGAATCCCAGATCTTTGGTCCTCCTCCATTTGCAGAAATCCAGATTTCCCCAAAAGGATGTGCTCTCACTGTCAATAGCATTTCCAGTGGAGCTTTCTTGGAGTGACATTCGGTTTCTTTCAGTTTGTAAGAATTTATTCTCTTTCTAAAAAAGCAAACAAAGAAAGAAAGAACCATGGAAAGAACCACTGCAGTCTCCCACCTCTCATTGGGAGTGTGTGTATTGTATATTGGAACACATGTTTGTGATAAATATAATGGCAGAGTGGAAAGAAGACAGATTTTTGTGTCCAATAGATGTGGATCCAAATGCTGATTCTACCATTGTAATCAATGCATTTTATCCTATCTACTGATGTGTACTTGAAGTGACCTTGAACAAATTATTGACCTTACTGGGTCTCAGCTCCTTAACTTGTCAAAATGGAATCAGAATATCTATGCCAGAGGGCTGCTGCAAAGATTGGCAGTGATGTGTGTATCTGTCTGCTTCTATGTAGTCTTGTTTTTGAGCTGTCCCTTGGGGCCCAGTTACAGCATTTAATGACTCATGTTAATGCTGTCATGAACATTCCATCACTGCTGACTTCTCTCCATTTCTGAGGATCATGACGTGCAGATCTGGCCACATGTGATCCCCCGGTGGTCGCTTTCCAGGCTTCATTGTCCTGATCAGGTGGGCTGGAGTTTTGAGTTCTTTCATAGAGAGGCAGTTTGGAACTGTGTCAAAGCCTGGAAAGAGATACAAATCTCCCTTTCTTGGCAAATGTGGTCTGACTGCTGGTGTCTGGAACTCTGTTGGAACTTGTGCTCAGGGAGGCCCAACTGGACTTAAGCCAAGGAGGCTGGAGATTCTGGTCACTGTGGAGATCAGCCCTCCCATGGCCTCACTGGGAGCAGAAACTTATGCTTAAGAACTTATGTTTAAGAAGAAGAAAATGAGCTTCTGCTCTTTAGAAAACTGAGTTAAAATATTCTGAGTGTATTTCTGGCACTTTTACCTTTTACTGCTGCCTATAAGAATTCAGAAAGTAAATTATCTTCAAGAAGAGGTAAGATTTACTGCTAAGTGAAGTAAGCCAGACTATGAAAGAGAGATATTGTATGTCCCCACTCAGTATATACCAAATGACTGCACTCTATGGCAGAAACTGAAATATTGGGTGGTATAAAAGCATGGAGAGCAACTGTGGATACCAGAGAGAGTGTGGGAGAAGGGTGGGAAGTGGCAAAGGTTGAAAGGGAGGGGATCAGGAGGAAAAAGAAAAAGAAAAACACTTAAGAAATACAAAATGTTGGTGAGAACACATATGGTAATATCTTTGAGCCATTATATAATGTATTCTAGATGGGAAAATTCATTTTTATGCTGTAATGATATACAGTGATTGACTGTAAAATTTAAAAGGTGTGAATGTGTGTTTTGTGGGGTCGGGGAGGTGGGGAGTTGTTTACTGGTTTCTTGCTGTTGGACTTAAATACCATATGTTACAAAATTGAGATACTTTCAAATTACAAACCAGGACATCCTTTGACAAGGTGCTTGAGGACCTCTGGAGTATGCAGAAAGAGCCAAGCCATAGAGCTAGAGGTACTGGTTTCCTTCTTTTATTTATTTATTTATTTATTTATTTATTTATTTATTTATTTAGAGGTTTTTGCCATAGGGCGTGTGTGCTCGCCAGAAAGACAGAGAGAGACAAAGAGACAGAAAGTGAGAAATCATCACCCAGGGGGGATGGCCACGCCACAATCCCTTCTCCTCCATTCTCCTCTCGGGATCTTGGGCACGCACGCACACGCGCCCGGCATGAGTTTAAGCCACAAGGTCCGGGATGCGAACCACGGTCGACTACATGGGACCTATGTCGCTATAGCGACATAGCCATTACGCTAACTGCTGGTCCCCTGGTTTCCTTCTTTACCAACTCTGTCACTTAACCTCTCTGAGTCTCTGTGTCCTCATCTCTAAAATATGGGCAGTGGTTTTCTCTTGTTACTATCATTGCTGTGAGGATTAAATAAAGTGTGATGATGTTGGATCATGTTTTGTAAACTCTATCCTGCTATGAGAATATTAGTTAACACTTTACATTCTGTGCTTCCTAAACCCACAGGAGATCCTTCAGCAAGTGCCTCCAGACCAGATCATCAGGCCATTGCCAGATGTACTTAGGTGTTAGGGAGGCATCCAGTTGCCTAACCTGATCACTTCTCACAGGGCATTCTCCTCAGAGCACAGTCATGGACAACCTTCAGCAGAGTCACCTGAAGAGCTCACTAAAATTGCAGACACCCCCAGACCTTCTCATTTGGAAATCCTGGGCGACCTAGGAACCTAGATCTTTAAACAGCACTTCGGGTTCACCAGGTGATTCTAGTAACACTAAAGTGTGAGAATCACAGATCCAGTGCAAATAGTATCTTCGTCTGTCTTGTGCTACTATAACACAATACTACAAACTGAGTAATTTATAAAGAACAGAAAATTATTTTCTCCAGTTCTGGCAGCTGGAAGTTCAAGATCCAAGAGATGGTATCCATCAAGAGCTTTCTTCTGTTATCCCAAGGAAAAAGGTGGAAGGGCAAAGAAAGGATGAAGCAGGGACAAGAGGGGGGCAAACTCTTCCTTATAAGGAATCCACTCCCATGAACCAAACATCTCCCATTAGGCTCTATCTCCCAACATTGCCACATTGCAGATTGAGTATCCAACACATTAACTTTTCAAAATGATAGCAGTCACCTATCTCATGCCAGGGGCTATTTCTGGAGGAAAAAATCTTTCAGAGCAAGCTATTACCTTGCTCTGACATATACCATGTATCTAATGAAGACATGTAGCGAACCCTGAAATCTGCAGCTTCCTTGAAGAAACCAAGGGATGAGTAGATCACTGGCATCTGTTCTGTTTCCTTCTCTGGGAAGCAAAGTTCCACACACATTATTTTAGGTATTGCTCATCAGAGCTTTGAAAGGTAAAAAAAGAAAGAAAGGCTCAGAGAAGTTAAGTAACTTGCCCAGGATCCCATGAAGTTCAGTGAGTGGTATGCTGGTAAATGTTTAACCAGGGACTCTGGGGCAGAGGGGCAGGGGTACACTCCATATAAATTAGCTGATTGCTGTGGTGTAAAAACTCCCACCAGGCAAATTGCAAACAACAACAGGTTGTCACTGAAGCAAAGCTGGAGAGAGATGTCCACAATGGGCCCTCATGAACTAGGGTGAGTTGTCTCCAGCCCTCCACTGCATGCAGGTGCCAGTCACTATTCACATATATCATCTGTAGAAGTACAGAGGCATGATGGCATCTTTCCCCCCCCTGCCTCCTATATGCCTTATTTCATGAGCATCTCTGATATGCTTGGTAGTGCGTGAAGGAAGATACTTAAGTATGATGAGGTCAGACCCCTTCAAGGGTTTCCTTAGGGACCATGTCCTTGCTTTGGCTTATTTTTTCTAGTGGCTGAGGCCAGTAATGTTAGTTACCATTGACCATGCTACAAACTTTTGGGAAAGGGTTGTCTGTGCTCAGGACAGGGGCCCAAGGTTGCTAATGTAGCATGGGTTGTTACTAGGTGAAGGAGGCATCTCATGGAGTTGAAGGGGGGTGTGGAGGCTCCAAAAGTTGCTGTCTGTCCATCTATCCAACATCTTCCCTGCAGGGCCTTGATCAAGGACTAAAGTCCCTGCGCACTTTCCTGAGGAGAGGCTGAAACCCTGTATGTCCAAAGTCCCTGTAGCCATTACCAAAACATGCCTGCCACCAGCCTCCCAACTTCCTGAAGAGTTCTGAAACATGATGTCATTCTGGTCCTTCACAAACTTGAACTTGTTGCCTCACCATTCCCAGGACAGATGGGTGTGGAGGCTTCAGAGCTGACAGAAGGCAGCGGCTGGGCCTTGGGCTGGGTAAATTGAGTATCAGCAATCCCAGGCTGCTGCCCAGGCTAGCTGTGGACAGGCAGGGTCCAGCTGCAGTCTCTCTTGGGGAAGGGATGAGCAGGCATTGTCACAGGGAGCCTCAGTGTCCCTCCAGCAGGTGTAAGGATGCTGCTGAGGCTGTCTGAAGTGATGGGAAGAAGACCTTGCTAACTGAGTACCCCCAGTGATGATGCAGCTGTCCTGGGAATAGGCCAGGGAGGTCTCAGAGATGTCTGGGGCCCTGCTCTTGGCCACGAAAAACAGAGACGTGGGCTCCCTCTTCTCTCAGCAAAAGGAGACTATCTGAGCTCCCCCTGCTAAGTCCATAGAGGGGGAAGCATCAACCTAGAAAAGCTCAGCTGCAGGTTAGGTGGGCTAGGACTCCCGTGTCAAGGTCTGGCCAGACTGACATTCAGGCTGGGGCAGGTGGCACTGAGGCGTGAAGGTGCCCAGGCACCCCTCCCTTTTCTCAGAGAGATTTCCTTGACTCAGCCCATCTTGACACACACAGGGAAGGATGTGAGGATGGGAGGGGAGAGAGGGAGAGGGGGAGCCACAGGGAGCCAATCACCCTGCACCAGAGCCTTCAGGGCTGGTTCCCTCAGAGTGTGTGTGAGTGTGCCTGTGTGTATTGGTGGGGATTTCTATGATAGAAGCAGCCAGATTTCAGAGAGAGAAAGAAAAGAGGAGGGGGAAGAACAAGAGGGGGGGAAGAAAATTGGGAGTGGGAGAGTCAGACGGAGAAAACAGCCCTGGGGAGGGGAGAGAGAGAGGTGGAGGGGAGCGTAGAAAGGGAAAGCGAGCGAGATAGAGAGAGGAAGGAAGAAAGCAAGAAAGCGGGAGGGTGAGTGGAGCGGAGAGAGCCAGAGCTTAGAGGGATGGGGTGAGGGCGGGAGGAAGCAGAGGCCGAGGCAGAGCGGGGGCAGCAGACGCCTGCAATCAAGGATCCGAGGGCGCTGAAGGCTCCGGGTGCAGCCGCACACCCGGGCTCCTGCCAGAGAGTGGGTGCGGGAGTCTGGGAGTTAGCTGCGCGCCAGGTGCCTGCCCGGGTGGCGCGGGGCTCCGGGGTGGCTGAGAGCTCTCCGGGGAGCCATGGCGGCGGGGACCAGGGGTCGCCAGGCGGCCGCGGCGCCGCCAAGGGGCTGAAACGGCCGCCGGCTGCGCCATGGCGGCGCAGGTTTGCGGACCCTGAGCGCCGGCGGCGGGCGCGCACCATGAACTCGTGGGACGCGGGCCTGGTGGGGCTGCTGGTGGGCACTATGGGCGTCTCGCTGCTGTCCAACGCGCTGGTGCTGCTCTGCCTCCTGCACAGCGCCGACATCCGCCGCCAAGCGCCAGCGCTCTTCACTCTGAACCTCACGTGCGGCAACCTGCTGTGCACCGTGGTCAACATGCCGCTCACGCTGGCCGGCGTCGTGGCGCAGCGGCAGCCAGCCGGCGACCGTCTCTGCCGCCTGGCTGCTTTCCTCGACACTTTTCTGGCCGCTAATTCCATGCTGAGCATGGCCGCGCTCAGCATTGACCGCTGGGTGGCTGTGGTCTTTCCGCTGAGCTACCGTGCCAAGATGCGCCTCCGCGACGCCGCGCTCATGGTGGCCTACACGTGGCTGCACGCGCTCACCTTCCCCGCCGCTGCACTGGCCTTGTCCTGGCTCGGCTTCCACCAGCTGTACGCCTCGTGCACGCTGTGCAGCCGGCGGCCTGATGAGCGCCTGCGCTTCGCTGTCTTCACGGGCGCCTTCCACACACTCAGCTTCCTGCTCTCCTTCGTCGTGCTCTGTTGCACGTACCTCAAGGTGCTCAAGGTGGCCCGCTTCCACTGCAAGCGCATCGACGTAATCACCATGCAGACACTGGTGCTGCTCGTGGACATCCACCCCAGGTGAGGGCTCTGGGCATGGCTCTGGGGGACTTGGGGTGAGGACAGTGGGTGGTCCCCTGCCTCTTGTGTGTGACCTTGAACAAGCCCCTTTGTCACCCAGCCTCCATTTCCTTCTCGGAAAACCAGAGTGGGAAGCGTGGCCAAGGCTGTGGGACTTAGGCACTGAGAGCATCAGTAAAGTAGGGCTGCAGAAATGGGGTGGAACATCTATACATCTGTTTTGAAGCATCAGGGCAGAAATCACAGTCAGAACTTTGTGGGGGCTTCTTTGCACTTATTTTACGTGTTTGTAGTTTTCACTGTAGTAGCCTCTGGGAAGGCAGTGATTTTTGCTCTCTGAGGCCTTTAAAAGATTTAGATCAGGCCCTGAGAGGGTGGCTTGGATGTTCAGGAAGGTCCTAGATTGGTCTTCCTACCAGACTGTGATGTCCCTCTGGGTCTTTCCTCGCCTGGTCCTGGTTTCATCTCTGTCTCCCAGACCTGCGAGTCCTGGTCATATGGAATCCAGCTGTGCCTTCCCTTATGGTGGGCTCAGTGGAGGGGGAGCTCTTACTGCCATCCCCAGAGGGCACTGTCCAGTGTCTCCCTCACTGCGGAAGGAGTGTCACCTCCAAAGCTCTTGGGATTCAACCTGTCCACTTACCTCCATCCTCACCCTGGCTACTGTTCCTTGGGAAGGCAGAAGGAAGTCAACAAGTACAGGTACCTGCTGGAAGCCCTGCCATCCCCAACAGCCTCTCAGGGAGAGAGGGAGGGAACTCTTAGCTAAGCTGTCCTGAGCTCACCTTGGCTCTCCTTACAAGAATAGGCAAGCGAGGAGGGAAGTGGTTGTCAGTGTCTCTTTGGACTCTACCATTTTATATCCTGCTATCCCAGAGAAAGGCAGTCTCTCCCTCTGTTGACTGGAACCCTAGGTAAGAGGGCTTTGGTGTCTAGAGGGAACGAGGTGAGGCAGGCAGAGAGTACCAGTGAGGAGAAGCCAGGGTGAGCCCTTGTGAGCTTTGGGGTAGGGGAAGGAGCTCCATTTCTAGGGTATGTGTGTCCTCTTCCAGGCCTGAGGAGGACAGACCAGAGGTGTGAGCTGAGCAAAGGCTTCTTTAGTTCTGAGTTTTTCCTCCCTGGGAGTACTAATAGACAGTCCTTGAACCTCATTGTGCCTCCACATTGAAGGGCATGTAAGAATGTGTTCATTGCTCCCCCTCCAAATAGCCATTTCTGGCTGAATGCTGGAACAATTTTCTAGCCACAGAATCTTACCATGAAATAATGTGCAACATGTACATGTAAATGACTGAAGCACATAGACACTAGGGCATGTAAGTGTGAAAGCTTCACATATACAATCCCATATACTCACACATAAAGTGCAAGTATAACAGCTTGCCACATGCACACAGGTCATGGGTATGGCATGCATGCACACAGATGCAAAGGCAGGTGTCAGCTCCCACTATGTGTATTTGTGCATGGTTTAATGTCACTGAAGAAAATATTCTACAGCCGTGATTGTGAAACTATTCTGGTTCCCATTACCCAAGGGGTGGGAGGATCCTAGTTTAGAAGAAGCATTCCTAGGATTTGGGCTAAGACTGCTCTTAGAAGATGTAGGGCAATGTTTAATTCTCTGGACTTGAATAATTCCTAGAGTGAGCTTTGTCACCATGAGTCTAACAACCGAGGAGGGCTTGAGCGGCAAAGCAATCAGTTCTTACTTAGACTAGTACAAACTCCATCCCCACTCCTCTTCCAACTTCCAGAAGAGGAGGGGCAGTGGCTCCTTTTTAGCTCATTCAGGCCATGGGGCCAGCTCCACTCTTGCAAATCTCTCACTAACTCCGGGCCAGACAGTGCAACGAGTGCCCAGGCCACTCTGCTATCCTTCCTCCTACCCCACTCCAAGGGAACTTTGACCTCTTTTAAGTCTCAAGCTGCTCTGAGGACCCCTGATCACAGGGCATTGTGGCCCTCCAGACCCAATCTCATCAGAGAGAAGGACTTCTGGGGCAGGGATGACCCTCAGCTAGTTCCCTTCTCTCAAGCCCCTCACCTAGAGCTCTTAAATGTTACAGAATAGTGGATGAATGTGACAGAACTATTTCTTTGTTGAATGCAAACTTGTCTTCTGAGGGGATGTCCCCACTGAGTGGGGGTAGAAGTGGGCCACCCTGGAAGAGACAGTCTACCTGGGCTCTCCGATAGCAAGTGGAGGTGGATAAGCTGGTATAGTCCCAGGAGCCTTAGGGCGACATTACTTCTGCAGAGGCCTCCAGGCTCCAAGTCAAAGATATATTGTACTGTGCTTTCAGAGAGCGCAGGAAGAACCCCCTCCTCTGAGCCCACCACAGGGGAGGGTACAGCTGGAGTCTGGCCAGGATTCACAGGAAGCACACACAGGGCTGGGAGACAGAAGTAGCACCAGGATTAGAATGAGGAAAGATCCAGAAGAGCAACCTGCTCTGGTCTCACAGTCTATCTAGGGTCTTCCTGAGCATCCAGACCACCCTCTTAGGGTAACTCTCTCGGCAGTTCTAACCTCTTCCATCCCACAAATAAGAGGCTACCCTAAACTTCCTGGGTCAGTTTGTTACTGAAATCTGACAGCCAACTGGGGCACCTGGGGTGCCAGGTTCCAGGCAGCAGAGGCCAGGTTTCTTTCTCTGGACAGCCAGGACAGTGCATGGCAAATCGGTTCACTGCAAGGCTTACTCAACTGCCATGCTGGTGACCTCTTACGACTTAATGAAATGGACCATCTTGAGCTTCCTGAGGCCCAGGGTGGCAAGAGGCTCCCTGGAGATGTCTACTCTTCCTGCAGATGTTGAACCTGATCAGTAGCAGACCTCACCTTTTTGATTCAACCACTACCAAAACACCAAGGACTGTCTCTTCTTACTTAAGCCTGGGACCCTGAGAGGCATTCCAATTCCTGCTTTTCTGTGGTATTTTCTCAAGTTCCTGCATTTATTAAGCAGCATGGAGTTTCCAATGTATATTACACACCTGGTCTTCTACCTGCTCAGTGTGCACTGTTTGGTTCTCCCAAATCACAGCTCCATGCCAATAATAGCAAGACCTTCTACCTTGTGCTACCAGGCACAGCTAGTCAGAGGGTACTGGGGTACTGAGGCATAGATGCATGTGCCCTGTTCTTCCTGGCCTAAATGGAGGTTGCCACTCACTGGCTTGGGTTAATGATTTAATAGAAGCAGAATATTTGTGAAGAGGACTCGTGGAAGCAGCTTAATTGGAGCTTCCTCTGAGGAGCCTCAAGGTTCTGTTGGGCCTCCTGGTGTTTCTAATGACAGAGGGTGACTTGAGTGCTGACTCTGGAGGGTGTCAGAATTGTGGAATAACAGATGAGAATCTCACTGTAAAGTCAAAGGCACAGTAGACTTTACAGAGGAGGAAATGGGGAGACCTTGGAAAGGGGGAAACTTGCCAAACTTAACAAATCTAGAAAGTGACTCAAGCCAAGACTCATGTCCAAGTCTGCCCCCAAGATATAAATGAGGCATGGTGCAAATAGAGACTCACAAACCATATATATGGGTGTTTAGAAGTTTCTACCTTGACAAATAGACCTTCATGATGGCCTTCAAGACTGGGTTCAAATTTAGCATTCTGAGGCTCCCAGGTCAGCCTCATATGTGCCAGGGCAAGTGGAGTTGGCCTACCTGCCTCACTCCCTGCTACTGGCTCTACCCAACACCTTGCACAGGTGCACATTGCAGTTTGCACATGCACACATGTTGCTCACAAGTACCACCACTCAGAACTTGAGCTGAGTACCCAGTTGGTATAGTCCACTCTCAGGAGGATGGGACCAAGGAAGATGCCTGCTCATGTTTTAGATGCAAGATCAGGCCATTTGGGCAAAGAACTCCATGTTCCAGGCACTTAGAACTAGGTCTAAGATGGCAGGTATGACCTTCAAGTGAGCACTTTCCTTTAGACCCATGAACTCTTCATTTCAGAAAGAGAGATGTGGGTTCCTTAGTGTGTAGGATGGAGGCTCTTCTCAATGGATCTGGATCTGAGAGTAGGACTGCTCACGCACATGTCCTGGCCCCCAACTCAAGGCTATTTCCTACTATCAGCCCACTTTCCCTTTGCCTTAAAAGTCACAAAGCAAATCTGGATCACTTTGTGAGAGTGTGGACCCTGTATGGAATACAGCCATCTAGGGCTCATTCAGGACCTAGACCCATTATGGAGGGCAGGAAGGTGTTTGGGGACAGAAGGATTTTTGCAGAGATCACATTGTTTATTGACTTTTCAGATGCTCCCAGAATTCATATTCCTTTTGCCCTGTTCCTAAAGCATGGTGGGGAAGAGCTCTTTGATCCCACATGCCACAATGCTGGGGAACCTGCCTCATTTTGTCTTATGGAAATGCTTTGTCCTGTCACCACCTTGGGGAACCCCATGCCAACATATTCCACTCTGGCTGAACTTACCTGGCCAGGTTCCTCCGAAGAGTTTTGGGTCTCTTACCTCCTGCATCACTAATTCCACTTGATAGTCTGAGGACTTCAGGTATCACTATCAGTCCCAGAGATATTTGTGAATGTCATTGCTCTGTCTGTGAGGAGCAGTGGAGGCTGAGAGAAAAACCCCAGAACTCATAAGCAGGAGAGCTGGGATGAGGCCTATGTCTTTCTCAAATGTACTATGCCACTTTGGGCATGCCATAAACCTTTCTGGCTCTCAGTGTCCTCATGTGCAAAAGAGCAGAATAGCAGCTCATAGGGCTGCAAAATTTCAAGGAGTTCAATGTTTCAAAGTTATTCTGGGGCCAAAATGATATCAGGTGTTAAGTGATTTTATTATAGTGTTGTTTGAAGCAGGGCAAGCTGCTCTCAGATGGTGCTTTACTATAATAAGCAAGAGTGGTCCTGCTTCACGTGGAGTCTGGGGACTGCCATGTTTTAATAATTTTCTACCAACTCCTTGTTCCCACCTGGGAAGCAGGAGAGTGCCAGGTGGGTACGATGAATTCATCCTTTTCATTTGCAAGAGTTTGGGGAAAAGCAGTGGTTGTTGACTAGGAGAACTAGTCTGGAAATCAGTGACTAGGTGCTATACCCCCTACTGTCTAGGTAGGCAAGTCCTTCCCTTCTCTGAGCCTCAGTTTCCTATCTTTGAGCTGGGGCAGAAGAGTGGGTAAACTTTCATACTATGCGAGGCTGTAGAGTTTAACCCATCTGTTCCAGAGCAGAGACATCACTGAACCCATGTGGATTAACCCAAGGCACAGTCTTCACCCTGCAGATGCTCTCTGTGCTCCATGGCATGCCAGGTGTCATTAAAATTAGAGTATTCCAGAGAGGGTCACAGAGCCAAAAAGAGAATCAGTACTTGATCTCAGGCCTCCTGATTCCCAGTTCACTCTGTACCTCTGGCATGGGTTATAGCCATCTCCCTCTCTTATAAATGCCTGGGGCAAGAAGAGAACTAACTTCTGCAGTGCAAGGGAGTCCTATGGTTTTAGTTCAAGGAAGTGCTAGAACACAGTAATTGCATAATAAATATATGTTGAATGGATAATAGTAATGATTAGCATTATTGAGTTCTTATTCTGAGTCAGGCACTGTCCTCAGTTCTTTTGGTATGGTAACTCAATTATTGTCACTAGGACCCTTCATGATAGGTTCTCTTATTATCTTCATTATAGATGAAGACACTGATGCACAGAGAGTTTACATAATTTGTCTAAAGCCACACAACAATTAAATGATCATGCCTGACTTTGAACTGACTCTGGTGCTTTGTGCTTAACCATGAGGCTAATTAACCAAAAATGAGGTCAAACAATTAGAAACTTCATGATCTTAAATCTTTTGGAGACCCTTGCTTTGTCTGGTATGCTCAAGATTTTGAAGGCTCACTTAAAATATCTAGTTAGAGTAGATTTCTAGCTTACTGTCTCTCTTTGAATGATGGGGAACTTATTTTTTTCTTAGTCTAGCTAATGGTTTATCAATTGGTTAATTCTTTAAAAAACAGCTTTTCATTTCATCAATCTTTCGTATTGCTTTTTTCACCTTTTTTTATTTCTGCTCTTATCTTTCTTTCCTTCTGGTGTTTTCTAGTTTAACTTTTTCTTACATTTCCAGGTCCTTAGGTTGTTTATCATCTTTCTGCATTTTTTGGTGTGGACACTTAATTACAATAAACTTCCCTGTTAGTACTGCTTATGGTGTGTCCCATAAATCTTGGTATGTTGTATGTCCATGTTCACTTGTTTTAAGAAAATTTTCTTTTTAAATTTCTTCCATAACTCTGAAAAGTCATTCATCACAATAAAACCCAATCTCTCTCTCTTTCTCTCTCTCTCTCTCTCTCTCTCTCTCTGTAACAAAAACCAAAAACCAAAAACCAAAAAAAAAAAACCCTTTCCTTTTTTTCGAGTCCCTGAGCTTCCATAACTCTGAAAAGTCATTCATCACAATAAAACCCAATCTCTCTCTCTTTCTCTCTCTCTCTCTCTCTCTCTCTCTCTCTGTAACAAAAACCAAAAACCAAAAACCAAAAAAAAAAAATCCATTTCATTTCTTCAGAGTCACTGAGGTGTTTGCTTACTCCTCTGAAGAACTTCAGAGTGTTCACCAACATCTGTTTTTTTAACATCCTTTGGAACCTTATGTTTGTGGGAGGGATTGTCTGGTGTGGTAGGGTGAGGAGGATACTATTCTGGGGAGATAACTTGGTCCTCAGTCCCTCAGTAGGGAACTCCATCCTTTCTGAAGGGACCTAAAACGATTTCTCACTCCTCAAGGGCTTGGTAGCTCTTGAATCATATCCATCCCTATTCAATGTCTGTCCCAGCAATCAGTGTAGCTCTAGTCATAGCTATTATGAAATTCCCATTGGGTAAATAAAAAACCAATTCAGAGAGGTTGAGTAACTTCCCAAATGCCACACAGCTAGAAAGCCGAGCTAAGACTAGGACACCTAAGCCAGAGCTCTTTCACTTACTAGGGTTATTCTAAAGCACCTGAAAAGTGGACAACATCATAAGTATTATCAATTGGAGGATGGTCTTGGCCCAGTTCTCTGGGACTCCATGGATGAATCATTTATATGGATTTGGGGAATGTCCAGAATGCTTTGCTTGTCCCCTAGGATGAGTGTCCTATGACACAGCTGAGCTCATGTTCCATATCTCCAGCACATCTCACATCAATTGCCCTGAGATTTCTGGGGAAATATGTAAATATTAAAACAATCAGACCTCTGTTGTAGAGAAAATGTCAAACATACTGCATCCTCAGGCCACCAATGTCCTGGTTTGCCTGAGTCTGAGGGATTTCCCAGGCTGCAGGACTTGGAGCTTTAAAACCAGGTCAGAAGAGCTGGTCATCTCACTACACCCAGACCTTCAGGGTGGGGATTTATTCCCTCGTTTTCCCCCTATTTGATCCCACACATGTCACAGAAGCCAGACTTTGGTAGAACACGTTGCAGAAACTCAAGGCCAACTGGAAAGTCAGGAGATTTAAAACTGACATTTGCTATATGATCTTAGATAACATCACCCCTTCATCCCTCCATGCCCCCAGCAGTGTCTTCAATCTTGCTGAAGAGATGATGCCCCCCAGGAGTATATGATGACTACTTAGTTGGGAGGTGGTACATGAAGCTTTGGAATCAGGTGGCCTGGGTTAGATCCTGCCATTCTGAACCCAAGGGATCAATTGTTCTGGTTTACTGGGATGGAGGGGGATTCTCAGATGTGGAAATTTTCCTTTTATAACCAGGACAGTCCCTTACAAAATGTCTGGGATGTGAGACTTTCATGATTAAATTCACAGATAAACTTGGACCAACTATGTGATCTTTGGCAAGTTATTTAACTCCTCTGTGCCTTGTTTTTCTTATCTGAAAAATGGGAAGCATAATGATATCAGTTCCTAATTCATAGAGCTATTTTAAATATCAAATAAACATATGTATTTGAACCCCCACCACAGTATGTAACATAACACATGTTAGAGACTCACAAAATGTGGGTTGTTGTTAATACTAGTTATTAGAAATTAATTAGTAATATTAGCCATAAATTTCCAGATAGCATGCAACCTGTTTGCACCAAGCCCAACTACAGTTCCCACCTCTTTAAATTCTTGGAAAGGCAGAGGTCAAAGTAAAAAAGTCCTGGAAGAATTTCAGCAGTCTTCAATCCAAACTAATATGGAATTATTCACCTGTGGTAGAAAATCTGATTAAGGAGAGTTTCAATTATATTAAGGTGATAGTTCTCCTAGAATGCAGGAGACACTGCCCTGGCACTAGTAATATATATGAATCTGGCTTGTGAATATTCTCTCCACTGCCTGCTTACATTGAACAGACTGACTTATTCTCAGGGCCAGTTCTCTGCAGCTTAGGCCTGGCTCTACCAAGTTATCTGCACTCCCTAGACAGCTGCATTTCTGTTCATTTTGAACCTCTGGAAAGGTCTTAGAACATACTGGAATAGGGTGTAGTTAGAAGCAATGGTCAGGAAAGGGGTGTAGCAAGAGGTATAGGAGTATCCAACTCCATCTTCAATGCTACATCCGTGATTCCACAGGGATTTAGTAGTCTCTGAGCTTGGTCTCTGGAGGAATCAAGTGACTCAGCCCCCTATGACCCTCATAGTGTGGTGTCTATAGCTCCAGGCAGGGACGAGGTTTTGGGATGAAAGAAACAGGGTTAAATAAAGAAAAGAAAGGAAATGCCATGCCCTGCTGCATACACAGAGTCCTGGTTGCCCTAGGTGAAAAAGGCCAGCTCTGAGTCGCATTCAACACAGGTTTGAATCCGTCTCTAGTTACCAGCTGAGCAAGTTTCTTGGCCTCATGGAGATCTTGGTTCTCACTGTAAAACATGGCAGGTAAAAAACCACCTGTCCAGTAAATACACCTGGTAGGATTTATTGTAGGGAAAGGTAAGAATTAGAGATCCTTCTTAGCAGAGCACCTTGGACCTAGCATAGAGCAGGCAATTGGTGAATGAAACAAGTAGCGAGATGAATTAATGATTACTTGCACTCATGAGTATGTGTAATTTGCTTTATGTACTTTATGCATTAAACGCTTTCATGCATAATGTGCTTTATGCATTCAATTCTCAAAATGGTCCTTTGCTACATTTTATTATATGATGTATCCTATAATAAAGTATACAAATAAAAATACATTGCATATTAATATATTACAGATGGTGACCTTACGGTTTAGTGATGTCACACAGTTTGCTCAAGGTCAATAGTTACAGCCGAGACTTGACAGTGGGTCTCCCTAGCCCCATGCTGAACTCCCATGCCAGAGGCCACTGCCTGTGTTTATGGACAGTACCTCATTCTCACCTAACGTGAGTCACCTTCTCCCCTCTCTCCTGTGCAGTGTGCGGGAACGCTGTCTGGAGGAACAGAAGCGGAGGCGGCAGCGTGCCACCAAGAAGATCAGCACCTTCATAGGGACCTTCCTCTTGTGCTTTGCTCCCTACGTGATCACCAGGTAATCCTGACCAGCGGGGTGTGTGCAATGGGGCTTCAAAGAACAAAGCAAGCCCCAGGGACCTTCTGCAATCACCAGCCTCTCTTGACCATGTGTTTTTCTAGAGGATGCTTTGGAGGCAAGATTGAATTTGCTATGTTTAGTGAACAGGAGGGTACATGCTTTCACTCTTAATCCTCACATTTTTTTGACTTAGACTCAGTACTAAAAGGATATGAAAGACTCCCACTCAAAGTCTTAATTTCATCACATCAAATCCTCCTTTATCGTGGGCCCCCAAACTTCAGGAGAACCTAAAATAAGAGAAAAGGAGAGAAAGGGAAAAACATCCTTCAGTGATTGGGCTCCCACTGCCCATGGAGTGCAGGTTAGTCCAGCCCTGGGTGTTCCAGCTTGGACATGTTCATCCAACCGGGCCACTGCCTCTGCACAGGATGTGTGGAGCATGCTCTGTGCCCAGCCAGGCTGGCCCACTTCTCCTACAGCTCAGGGGTGGAGGGAGAGGGATCTTCTATTGTTAGACTTGGTGCTGCCAGATTGTCGTATTCTCTCCCAGATCTCTAGCTGCTGAGTCAGCCAGGTCACAGTATCTGGCCTCAGGGCTTGCACTTCATAAGCCATCCAGTTCTACCTATAGCATTTCTCAGACATATGCTAGCCAGAAAAGGGAAACATGTATGTCACCCAATTGATCTGTTGTGCAGACTGGAAGGGGAAAAAAAAATAGTCCACAACTTCGTATCTAAATATCCAAAGAGGTGTAACTTTGTGAAGTTAGCAAGAAAAAAGGAACTTTGATGGTTTATTAAGAGGTAGATGTGGAAGCTTTAATGGATTGTGGGAAGAAAGATCCGTGTGAGGTTGTCAGAGTGAAAGCAAGAGAGTGAGAGAGCAAGAGAGAGGATACAATCCAGCATCTTGGCACCTTCAACTACAGGGCCCAGAAAGGGCCTGCCTCCCTGTCACCCAGCATCATGCACACCCCACACAGGGTGAGTCCATCCTCCCTGTTTATTTCTCTCTGCCATTCTGTTGAACTGAAGCCTGGCTCACTGTGGCTTCCTCTATGCCCCAGTTTTGCTTTCTGCCCCAGGAAAATACCCTCTGCTCCCATGAGCCCCTGCAGACAGTGAGCCTGGCCTCTTCATGGTCAGCCCTACTCCTGCTCCTCCCAACAGCACAGCTCCAGGGTGTCTTCCAACATCTCTCTTGTTCTCTGCTGCTTCCCAGGGGAGGTCCAGTTGGTATGCATCTCACTTTGAGTGAGGGATCTGGAACTGTCTATAGTTCTCTAGATGAGTCCTACTGGGGCAGAACAGAGCCATCAATTCTTCCCTCTAGAACTGTCCAGGGGACCTCAGCACTGCTGGCGTTTTGATATATCTTTGCTATGAGAATCTGACTTGGACATTGTATGATGTTTCAGGGATCCCTGGCCCCCAGACCCAGAGTACCAGTAGCCTCTTTCCCCATCTCTATCCCTACTTTTGATAAAAATATCTCCAGACCTTGCTATCTGGGTCTGGAGGAACAGAATCACCCATGGTCAAGTACCGCTGATTTGGACCCACTGCATCTGGGCAGGAAGCTAGAGGTTGTACAGATCAGAGTTTCCCATGGGATGCAAAGTCCACATGTGTTGACATGAAAATGAGTTTCTCTTGCTCCCCCAGCCAAGTACAGCAGAGTAGTTAGCAACGTGGGTTGTGGAGTATGCCTTCCTGGGTCTAAACTCCAGCTCCACGCCTCCTGCTGTGTGACCTTGGGTCAGTGACATCACCTTTCTGGACCTCCAGAAGAGAATGCAGCATTGCAAGGATTAAAAGATATGGAGCATTAGAGCTTGTGACATAGCCTGGTGTGGATGACTTCTGTGGTCTTTGCCCTCCCTCCCTCTGATACAGCATCACCCGCAGTGCGCAAAATGAGGATTAAATTCAGTGAGAAAAGATGTATCAGAAAGGGAGGGTACCCAGAGGCCCCTCCTTTCAGATCCCAGAGGAAGGGGTGCCATCGGCTAATGAAGTGATCTTGAGTCCTCAGAGGAGAATAGTAATATGGCTCCACCCTTAAACTGTTGGATTTTGCTCCAACTTAATTTCATTTACCAACAAAATGTTCCTTTTTTTTTTTTTTTTGGAAAGGTTTATGCTATAGGGTGTGTGTGCTCAACAGAAAGAGAAAGATAGAAGGACAGAAAGCGAGAAATCACCCCCGGGGGGGATGGCCATGCTGCAATCCCTTCTCCTCCATTCTCCTCTTGGGATCTTGGGCACGCATGCACGTGTGCCCGGCATGAGTTTAAGTCACTGGGTCTAGGACTCGAACCACTTTCGACTACATGGGAGTCCATCAACATAGCCATTACGCCAACTGCTTGTCCCAAAATGTTCTTTTTTTCTGATTACAGTTTGGTCTGTCTAATAGTGCCCAGAAAATAATGTTTCAGTAACATTGGTGGTAGATTCATAACTATGAATGTATGTTCCTTCCCAATGAATTTGACGCAACCTGAGTCTTAAAAACACTTATAAAACTGTCATATGGGACGAGCAGCACCTTATTAGGAAGAGAGAGCTACACCCAGAAAACCTCATGAATTCAAAATATGGCTCTGGGAAACCACCTAGTCCCCACAGCCACCATCCTACCACCCCTGCTTTGATGTTCTCAAGAGCCTAAGGGAGCCATCCTAAGAAAACCTCTTGCAAAACAAAAAAAAAATATATATATATATCTTTATTTCATTTCAGCACACATTTCTCAGATACCTTCTCTGTGCAGGGCCTCTTCAGAGGAGGCATGGGTTAGTGAGACCCTAGGAGACCCCTTCTGATGGGAACATTGACCTTGTAGATATGGCCTCTAATCCAGATGAAACGCCATGTTCTGGGATCACTGCCAGGCACAGAGTCCAAGGGTTTGAGACAAGAAGGACCTGTCCTGGTTGGGCTTCATGACAAGCTTGCAGAGTAGGCCTGGCTATGCAGGGGGCAGTCCATGTAGGAGTATGAGCCCAGCAGAGGAGCTGCCAACCACAGGTGGCTACTCGAAACATAGCCTGTCTCAACTGAGATGGCTGTAGTTTAAAAACCACATTGGATTTCTAAGACATAGCATGACAAAATATATATCCAGATATATAAAGTCACTTATTTTGATGTAGATTTCATAGTGAAATGATAAGGTTAAATAAAATCTATCATTAAAAGTAATTTCACATTTCTTTTCACAAGCAGAAAATTCCAGATGATACCTGTACTTCCAGTTCTCTGTTGGCCAGTCCTAATCAGTAGGCAGGGAAGTCTGGGATATGAGGTGTGCCATGCTCTTGCTCTGGCCCCTCCTCTTCCTGAACCTCTAGCTGCTCATGTTGTCCTGCAGTGGCCAGGAGCGCATTGGCAACCCAATTACACCCACTCTTGTCCAGCTCCTTGCTCAATGCTGACATTTATCTGGGAACATATCCTGAGCAGCCAAATCCATGTCTTCCTCTTTAGGGTCAGGTCTAAACTGAGGGGACATCAGATGCTAAGACAGGACAGCAGGGAGAGGAGTTTGAAGCAGGCAAATCCTATGAACTTCCTTCTGGAGTCACAACCCTCTTGGAACCACTGCCCCTTGCAACCCCACCCCCGCAGCCCTTATATGACTGAACAGAGAAGAGTCCAACAAGATATCCAGTCTATAGAGGAGCCCCAGGCACTCCCCATGGAGATAGGGACCTGTGAACTTGCTCATCACACACATCCTAGTGTGCTGGGTACACTAGGATGGCATGGTTCTAGTGCACCCACCTCCATCTTACATATGAAGTAACTAAGCACTGAAGTCGGAAGAGGCAGTTGCATAATTGCTGAGAGTCATGCATTGAGTCACTCATAAAGCTGGACTTTCAACCTTGCCAGCTCTCCTCCAGCTCCTTAAAGCTCTCAGAAATTTCTGAGGTGGGAAGCTCTTTGCAGAGTCTGGCCCTGCCCTGCTCTCTTTCTCAGGTCTGTGGTTGTGATATGAAAGTAGTTGGCACACAGAACTGTCCTCTACCCTCTTCCCCAGGATACAGCTCTATCCACCATGGATGGCCCTCCCAAGGCTTGCCAAGGGAGCATGGACTCCTGGGCATAATGTCATAATGGAGAGAAGCTCCTGGGAACAGAACAGGAGTGGACTCTGGAGAACTCCAGAACTCAGGATCAAAGAGGGCACTTCCATGGCCACAAAGTACAGGCTCTCTCAAGAACAGTAGTCTCTGTGTCCCTCCAACCTATCAGTGATGTAGGCTCAAGTGAGTTTAGCCACAGCTTTGACTCTAGAGAGGGTTCATAGAAAATGTGACAAGTGTGAACCCTGTTATGGGTCAAATCCTTGAGATGTGGGTCTTCTGGCCTAGATAGCATTAATGAGCTCCAGGAGGGAGTGCATGGCTGGAGCCAAGGAATCATTTCTGGCAATGGGTCCAGCTGGCCCTGACATAGTTTATGGTTTGCCCCGATGTTATCTCCTGGGTCCTTCAGTGCCCCCAAGAGATAGGCTGGTGAACTGTGTGCGCCCCACTTTGCAACCAAGGCTCAAAGAGGGAAAGGGTTGCACAGAATCATGTAACTAGTAAGGCACAGGGAACCAAATAGTCTGAGTCCACCTGGCAGGCACGGGGACTCCCAGTCTGAAAGATGGCTCTCCTGGATGCAGCCCCTACTCACGTTTTCTGCTTCTCTCCCCTCCACAGAAATGAAAATTAAGGGACCAGCAGTTAGCGTAATGGCTATGTCGCTGGACTCCCACGTAGTCGACTGCGGTTCATGTCCTGGACCTGGCGGCTTAAACACACGCTGGGCGCATGTGCGTGCGTGCCCAAGATCCCGAGAGGAGAATGGAGGAGAAGGGATTGCGGTGTGGCCATCCCCGCTGGGGTTTGAGGTTGATCTCTTGCTTTCTGTCTCTGTCTTTCTGGAGAGTGTACATGCTCTATAGCAAAAATCTCTCAAAAAAAAAAAAAAAAG